CTGAACGTCGGTTGACTACAGAGCTCAAAATTATGAAGCTTTGAGGATCTGGGGAGAGAGGGCCAGTGCCCGAGCTGAGAATGATAAGAAAAGAGCTGACGAAGAAAAGGCTCGGGCTGATGAGGCCATAAAGAGAGCTAAGGAAACTGCTAGGAAGGTGGACGAGGCTAAGCTCAAAGCAATTGAGAATTGGAGGGCCTCTCCTAAGTTTGACGCACTAGCTCAGGATGCCTATGTTATGGCCTTGGACGAGATTATAAAGCACATCAACAGATAAGGGCCCAACTTTGACACTTACTTTCTGGTAGAGGCATACAAAGAACAGAAGAAGGAGCTGGAGCAGTTGTCGAAGGCAACAGGAGTTCGGATTTTCCCTACCGATGAAGACATTATAGATGAGTTTATGCCAGAGGGCCCTCCAGCCTCATAGTTTCATTTGTTGCTATTTTTTGCTTTGGTTGAACTTTATAACTCTTTCAAGAACTTATTTTTGTAATCTTGATTCATTAAGGAATGACTATCAATTTTGTTTTCGTCTTGCGTAAAATATCATTACTTTTGCAACTTTCATTATGAAAAATGAAACTTGCTACACATGTTTGGGACTAAGTGTTGTAGCACATGCAACCTCAGTTTAGTTTGTTCTCTAAATAATTTCTTTATAGAAAATTTCACTACGTGTTGCACTACATGCAACCATAGTTCAGTCTACTTATACGCAGGGCTTAAATGATTTCCTTGTAGAAAGTTTCACTAAGTGTTGCAGCACATATAACCTTAGTTCGGCCTGCTTATACGCAGGGCTTAAATGATTTCCTTGTAGGAAATTTCACTAAGTGTTGCAGCACATGCAACTTCAATTCGACCTGCTTATACGCATGGCTTAAATGATTTCCTTGTAGAAAATTTCACTAAGTGTTGCAGCACATGCAATCTTAGTTCGATGAATTAACGATTCTGGATATTTTCCTTTTTTACAAAACATACGTTTTATTATAGATAACATATGCGTGATATGAGATACATTTTTTGTTCTACTAGTAATACTTCTTAAGGTGTTCTGCATTCCAAGGGTGCAGTAGAGGTCTACCTTCAATATCTTCCTGATCATAAGTCAACTTAAGTAGTACTATGGTTTCTTTATAAGGGTCTTTCTAGTTAGGTCCTAAAGATCCAGAGTCCTTCCATATCTTCCAGCTCATAAGTCCACTTAAGTAGTACTTTGGTTACTTTATAAGGGTTTTTCTAGTTAGGTCCTAGAGATCCAGAGCTAGGTTCTCTTGTCACCATATTACCAACCTCGAACTCCCGTTTCCTAACCTTCTGATTATAGTACCTTGCATCGTGTTGCTTATATATGGCATTCCTGATTTCGGCCTTATTCATTCTCTCTTCCACTAAATCCAGCTCTCCTCGCAAGACCTTATCATTTCCTTCCTCTTGATACATCATTGTTCATATAGAAGAAATTCCTATCTCAAGGGGAATAATAACTTCCACCCCAAATGCTAAAGAAAAAGGGATTTCTCCAGTACTATTCCTAAACGTAGTGCGATAAGACCACAAGATGCTAGGGAGTTCCTCGGCCCATCTTCCCTTAAGAGCATCCAGTTTGGCCTTCGTCGTATGCTTGATGATCTTATTAATTTAGAGGTCTACCTTCCATATCTTCCTGTTCATAAGTCCACTTAAGTAGTACTTTGGTTACTTTATAAGGGTCTTTCTAGTTAGGTCCTAGAGATCCAGAGCTAGGTTCTCTTGTCACCATATTACCAACCTCAAACTCTCGTTTCCTAACCTTCTGATTATAGTACCTTGCATTGCGTTGCTTATATATGGCATTCCTGATTTCGGCCTTATTCATTCTCTCTTCCACTAAATCCAGCTTTCCTCACAAGACCTTATCATTTCCTCTCTCTTGATACATCATTGTTCATATAGAAGAAATTCCTATCTCAAGGGGAATAATAACTTCCACCCCAAATGCTAAAGAAAAAGGGGTTTCTCCAGTACTATTCCTAAACGTAGTGCGATAAGACCACAAGATGCTAGGGAGTTCCTCGGCCCGTCTTCCCTTAAGAGCATCCAGTTTGGCCTTCATCGTATGCTTGATGATCTTATTAATTGCTTCACCTTGGCCGTTACCTTGAGGATGATTTAGCGTGGAGAAGCATTTTCGTATGCCAAGTTCTTCACAAAAGTTGGCAAAGTGAATATTTTCAAAATGTTTACCACTGTCAGTCACGATAGTGTGGTATCTCAAATCTGCATATGATGGACTTCCACATGAAGTCAGCAGTCTTTTGCTCGATTATCTTAGACAGAGGTTCAACCTCCACCAATTTAGTGAAATAATCCACTGCTACAATTGCAAACTCCGTTCCTTAATTTCTAGTTGGCATGTGACCAATTAAACAACCCCCGCTTGGAAAAAGGCCATGAAGCCATTACATGATTCAACTCTCCTGGTAGAAGCCTGGCATTAGGAGCAAATCTTTAGCATTTGTCACATTTTCTAGGAAATTCCAACGTATCCTTCTTCATGGTGGGCCAAAAGTATCCTTGCCGTATTATTTTATGAACCGATGACTGCCTTCCAACATGATTCCCACACACTCTTTCATGTATTTCATGGAAAGAATAAAGTGCTTCCTCTTCATTTAAACACTTCAGCAAAGGCACAGAATATCCTCGCTTATAAAGGACAATATCAATCAGTGTGTACCTTGTCGACCTCGCCCGTAGTTTCCTTGCTGCGACGGGATCTTCTAGGCATAAACCCGTTTTCAGGTTTGACCTGATTTCATCCATCCATGTTGACTTCAGATCAGTCATCATAGAAACGATTTCCAACTCCTCAGTGGCTGGATGACAAATCCTTCCTACCGAAATACTATCAAATCCCTCTTTTCTTTCACTTGTCGCCAGTCGAGCTAAGGCATCGACATGGCTATTTTGAGTTCAGGGAATTCATTTGACTAGCACGGTCTTGACATTTTTGAGCTCTAATTTGACGACTTGAAGGTAGCTATTCATCATTTCCTCCTTATCTTGGTAAGCTTCGTTGATCTGGTTAACCACCAGTTGCGAATCACTGTAAACTGTCAAATGAGTAATTCTCATGTCTTTCGCCATTCTCATCCATGCTATAAGTTCTTCGTACTCAGACTCATTATTCGAGACTTTGAAATCAAAAGATAATGCTTCACAGAACAGTTGGTGGTTTGGACTAATCAAGACAATTCCAGCTCCCGACAGAGCTCCAGTAGAGGATCCATCAACAAAAAGTTCCCATTAAGTATCGCAAGGGAGTTTTTCAGTTGGATTCAAACTGAACTCCGCAACAAAATCAACAAGAGCTTGGCCCTTTATGGAAGTGCGATACTTGTATCTTATGTCGAATTGACCTAGCTCTACTGCCCACTTAACCATCCGACCTGAAGTATCAAGCTTTTGTAAAACCTGCCTTAAAGGGTAATTGGTCAATATCTCAAAGGGACAAGTTTCTAACAAAAAACTTTAAGAAAATCTTCCACAAGCCAAATATACAACTCTAGAAAAGGAGAATCTAGGATTTTTGTTAAAGATGGTTTAAATTTAAAAAAGAAAAATCAATTAAATTAAATTTATATATAAATAAGGCACAAGGTAACAACAATTCAATAAGTTTATTATTATTATTATTTTTTATAACCGTGGATATTCGGGCCAACTTGAACGCACCTCGACTAATCTCACGGGACCCTGAAATTTACGGCCAAGTACTCACCTCAATGGCCCTGAGGGGACTCGAACTGGTGACCATTGAGGAGCAAACCCAAGGTCTGACCAATTGAGCAACCCCTCAATAAGTTTATTTATTTAAATATAAACTATTATCAATAGTAGTTACCAAATAAATAAAAATTTGATGACAAACGAAGTACCTATAAATTGTTGTTGACAAACTATTGTCAATAGAATATAATGAAAGAGTTAAAATTTTAGATTTTTTTTTTATTAGTATGTGAGAATAAATTTAGAAAATCAAAAAATACTACTTTTTTTTTAAAAAAATTACACCCCTACAAAGAAAAATAAGATTCTATATCTTTCTTATAGTCTATCCAATCAATGGTAACAATCACCTTTAGCATATCCATCTGTCAATATTATTCACCCTTAGTAAATATATATAGAAACAATTACCAAAATGATATTCGCGATGTATTATCTCTTTTAAGTGTTATTTTCCTATAAATTTGATTGCTTAACCATAAAAATATGATGATTTTCTTTATAAATTTTCAATTCAATAATTAAAATTTAAACACGATAAGAATAGTTTAATTTGAGTCAAGTTCTAATAGCATGCAATCTTGTTGCACTTGGCCAACCTTCAACCAAATACTCGTGAAACGAGATAACAGACTATGCTCTGTTTGTTTGTGATTAAAATTTAGATTTTTAATCTAAATTACAGTCAACAATTAATTTCAACTATATATTTTATAGGATCCACAACTTTTCAACTACACATTTCATCAACTTTTATCAAAATCTACTTAAAATCTAATTTTTATCCCCATCAAAGAGGGCCTATGTATGTCTTTTGGATTTTCACCTAGGAGGCGTGGACAAGACTAGGGATCCATCAATATCCTATTCAACATCTGATGTAACCATTGTGGATAAATGTACAAGTAGAGTTCAGTAGTTGGAAGATTAAAATTTAGCAGAACAACATACTCCATTATTTCTAGCAATGGCATTACATAACTGTTTGTTTTTATATATAGTTCATTTTATTCATTACTAATAGAATATCTGTACGTGACTCTTACCAATACCCCAAAAGTAAATAACATAAAAGAGGTGTAAAAATGAGTGTACAAGAGATAGCTATCTTACTTGGCATAGTTCTATATACATCAGTTTCTAGAGTATCTTAAAGAACTAGTTGGTGCAAATTTTGGTTGAACATACAAACAATCACTAATGGAAGGAAATAAGCGAATTCCTCATCTCCCATCTGGAGCAGACATTGTCAATTCATTGGAAATTGAATCCGGTTTATTAGAGGATGAGGACGATGTGGAAAAAACACGTTTTCGCATTACAAAAGCCGGTTGATTGGGAACTGGAACGACTGTAGTTTCGCCACTAAGCATTAGGACTACATTTGACATAGTGGGGCGATCACTGGGATCTTCTTCCACATACAATAGCCCAACATTAATACACTTTATAACTTCAGATTTCTCACAAGATTCAAGCAGTGTTCGGTCCACCAAATCGAATGCCTTGTTTTCACTCCACAGTCTTCATACCTGCGTGAATAGCTTCAAAATATTTTAGACTGTGAATTGGATAAAATCTTGCATATGAATGGAGGAATTTATCTACTTACATATCCCAAGAGATTCAAGTCTTCAGAGGATTGGTAAAATCCCGTGTTTTTCTTTCCTGCGACTATCTTGAGTACAACAACTCCAAAACTAAATACATCTGACTTTATAGAGAATAGTCCATCCGATGCATACTCTGGAGCCATGTAACCACTGGATCAAGGTAACTAGAAGTTAGTGTGTGTGTGTACATAATGCATATGCATAGCTTAATAGAAATTTGTCATTGTTGATATCATTGCACATGGCACACAGGAGCCAAGAACTGATTTGCTGATCTAGGCCAAAATCTGGAGATTGTTTGTACAATATCATTATAATCAGATAAGATAATGAAATGTTTCAATTTTTCGTGCTTTCAGTAGTCTCAGTGTAATTATATCATTTTAATTGACACTTACTAGGTTCCTGTGACTTTACTGGTGCTTGCTTCTGTTCCTGTGCCCTCAACAATTTTTGCCAAACCGAAGTCTGAAATTTTGGGGTTCATCTCTTCGTCTAACAAAATGTTGCTTATTTTCAAATCTCTAAGAATTATCCTCAACCTTGAATCCTGATGAAGATAAAGCACCCCTCTTGCTATCCCCAAAATGATGTCAAACCGCTTCTACCAGTCCAGTAACATGCATAATTTTTTATCTAGTATTTGCGAAAAAAATTATTAATAGTAGAAATGAAAATTGTAAATATAAATCATATCATTTTCCATGAACTAACCAAATATAAAGGCATCCAAACTTTTGTTGGGCATGTATTCATAGAGTAAGATTTTTTCATTCCCCTTCATGCAATAGCCCAAAAGGCGAACGAGGTTTCGGTGTTGAAGCTTTGCAATCAATACAATTTCGTTTTGAAATTCGTTAAAGCCTTGCAAAGAACAACTTGACAACCTTTTCACCGCAATTTCTTGCCCTCCGGGAAATATTCCCTGCAAGAGTTGTTAGCTAGAATCAATACAAAAGGAAGCACAAACTTTGTTGTAGCAAACAATTATGGAGAGAAATAGTTAAACCTTGTAAACAGGACCAAATCCCCCACGTCCAAGTTTATGTATGTCTGAGAAGTTCTCGGTAGCAGCTATAATACTTTCCCAACTGCAGAAAGGAACACCGATACCACTCTTGTTGTCTCCCTCCAACATATCTGAGGAATTTTTGGTTTCAATTTGTAACATGTCCTTGTCCCTAAATGCTAACGATGATTCCTCAACTGCTTTTGTAGTCCCAGATTTATGCCTGTGACATATGCATATCACGACAGTGGCCAATAGAACCATAACAACCGCAACAGAACCCACAACAGAGCCGATTACAAGTACTTTCCTTTTTTTATTATTTGAAAACTGAGATGCAGAGGCGGAAAGTCTAATGTTGATCGTTCTTTTACTGCTATTATTTTTTGTGGGTTGTTGTAAATCCATTAGTTCCCCATTCCAAACCAAGCATGCATTGTCTTCATAAGAGTAAGCTGTACAAGAGCAATTACTCAAGCAGATAGAATTACACTCTCGAGCACTCCCTGCCATCACTGATTGTGGATTTGGAGGTAAACTAACAATTTTATTCGCCAGAAACTTGTCTTTTCTGTCACTCGTACAGTTCAAAATTATATCTCTCACACAGCCACCCGAATAATCCTTCAAACTCCAATCATATTCCGACCTTTGCTTAAATCCGGGCAAACAATAACATGAATTCTGATTGCAGGTACCAAATGCCCCACAATAAGCATACACATCACATTGCTGCATAGGTTGATGCCAAACCAAAAGCCGACTCTTCTGATACCACAATAATAGCTTAATCTGCCCGGAAACATCCATCACATAACCAGATTTAAGGGAAGGATTATTAAGAGAATATGAGAGGTAACTCTCATTAACGTTGTCAACATAAACATGATTATAAATACCGTTCAAACTCATTTCGGGGACTGAACTGAAAAAAAGCCCATTCCAAGGTCCACTAGTCCAGTACCACTCAGTCATATTCCATCTTAAGATTACCTGACTCCCATTTGGATCTAATTCAAGGGAGAAAAGCCCAGGTGCAGGATCCACAAAGTTTTTCCAAGAAGTGAGAACTTTCTTTGTTTTTGTACGTTTATCATAGGCAAGCCTGTTACCAGGCAACAGCGTATCTGTTGGATTATCAAAACTTTGCCAAAATCCATCACTTGTCCTAGGTTCTGACTCATCTCTCAAAACTAAATTTCCATTATCACCTAGAGTTGCCACTACAGAATTTGAGGTTGTCAAGTTTACATTAGTCGACCAAATTGAAACCTGGGACTCATTCATAAGCACCAAATTCCCATCTAAAATCTTAAGTTCTGCAGAGTTCATGTCTGAAATGGGTGTCTCCCTGTTTGCTACCCAAACTAGGGTCATTGGACTACTATTTTTGAACCAAATTCCAATATAATACCTGGAAGAATTACCTGGTTTGAAGAATCCCAGTTCAAAAGACCCACCAGAAGACACGATTATCTGTTTCCCAGAGAGAGATTGGTTTGCTCTAATGCTGTCACCTCCTAGTGAAAGATTGATGTTAATATAGAAACATAGGAAAAACAACAGAGAGAGAATGAAACAACAAGTGTTCATTGGGATCATAGCTGCAGAAGATGTGTGTACGGACAAGGGAGGAGAGAGAGAAGGCAAGTACGAAACAAGAAGTGTTTTAGAAAAAAATTGAAATCATAGCCCTACAAAACATCAGTTTTGTGGGGAAATGTGAACTTTACCTACAAATTTCAATTTGTCAATGGAAATTTTGTAGGGAAAAGATGAGTTTTTTGTAGTGCCTACAAAATAATTTTTTGTGGGGAAAAGTGATTTCCGCATACAAATTTGAATTTATCTCTCACAATTTTGTAGGCGAAACATAAATTTCTTGTAGTGTAACATCAGTAATGAATCTAATTGTCAAAAAAGTCTACTATTCATAGGGGGTATATGTTGCCCAAAAGATGGAAACTAGGTCAATGTGTGGAATAAACAAAATAAAGAACATCCAAACGACAATGGCGCTTGAGTGCCAGGCGAACGGTAGGTTCTCCAGTCGAGCGCCAGTCGAGCGGTAGGCGGACAGCAGGTCTTCTGTTGAAAATTTCGTCTCATCGCTCAAGTGTCCAGCTAGCGGAAAGCTCAATACACTAAACCACGCAAACTCTATATGAATTTAGGTCACTAACCCAATATTTTTAATTCACGTGTGATTATGCCCATTTAAGCATATCTATCTATGCACAAAATTAGTGGAAATTATAGGTTAAATGGTTGTAGCCCACCGTTTAGCCCAGTAGTCAATAGCCCAATTGAAAACCCAATTAATTCCCGTTTCGGCATTTCCCAAACCCTTTCACTGTTTTCACTTTTCACGGTATCACTCGGGTTTGTGCAGCAACAGAGCAGCCCCTGGGTTTCACCTATATTTTTTCAGTCTCACGTTCGGCGAAGTAGCAAACGAGAACGGTTGAAGTCTTCTTCTTCAGGTAATTAGGTCAGCAGAATCAGCGATTCAACATTCGGTTTCGAACTTTCGGTCTTTCTCCTTCGAGCTTGATCACTTTTCACGGCATCACTCCGGTTTGATCAAGATCAAGTTCACGGCTTCACCTTCGGGCTGCGGCTTCACTGTTCTTTTCTTCTTCTTCAAGTTCACGGCTTTACCTTTCACAGCCTTGAGCCTTCAAGTTCACTGTTCTTCAGACAAAGACTTTACCTTCGGCTTCTTCAACAATTAGCAGGTACTTTTATTTTCAAGTACTACACTTTTATTTTATGATTTTTATTTATGATTTATGAATGATTTTCTTGGGCTATTTTTTAAATTGTTTTGGACTCTAATTGCTCGTTCAATTTGTTTATTTTCGCAAACTTATCCTCAACTTGACGTATTTTAATGATTTTTATTTAACTGTGATTGAGTAAAAATTGGGGATAAAAGTTGTGATTTAGTCATTTACAGATTACTCATTTAGCTGTGATTTTCATTTGTTCACATGTGATGTGATGTTGTGAATTGTGATGATAGATATTTGGAATTGTGAATTGTCAAGAATAGGTCATTAAAGATTGTGCTAACTTTTCTAGTTTTGTCTTGGTGAAAAACTGAAGATGCTTGAAGGGTGTATTAAAGATTGTGCTAAATTAGGAATTTATTACATATGATATAATGATAAGAACTTATATGATATTGAAGTATTTTGATATTTATGTTTTTAGGTTTAATATGGAAGAAGATCGACATTCTTCCAAGAAATGAAGAACGTTGTTATCTTTCTTTTCAAAGAGCAACAAATATCAGGGTACTCCAATTCCTACGACGTCCACTCCAAATCCAATTTTATCTCCTGAAGTTGAACGGCCTTCATCTTCTAATTTTAATTTGGAACCATCTGATTCTATTGAACGGGACTCGGGAAAAAGAAAGTAAATATCTGAACATCCATTTAATGAATGCGATCAGATTAGGCGAGCCTATCTACATGCTGGACCCTACCAACCAAAACTTTTGGATTATCAAAGTAAAGAATGTGAAAAGCAGAAACGTCGATTTCAGGAGCGTTGGTACAATCAGTTTCCTTGGTTGGAATATTCACCTTCAACACATAAGGCATATTGCTTTTATTGCTTCATTTTTCTCAATAATAGTGCTCCATCTGATATTTCATCGTTAGTTACCATTGGATTTGATAGTTGAAAGAGGGTTAACCAAGGAAGTAAATGTGCATTTCTTATTCATATTGGTACAACATCTTCATCGTATCATAATAGTTGTAAGAGAAGAGTTGCAGATTTAATGGTACCAACTCAACATATTTACAAAGTAATGCATTTTGTATCAGCTGAGGAAAAACAAAAAAATTGTATGCGTCTAAAGACCACTATTATGAGTGTTAAGTGGTTAGCACTTCAAGGTTTATCCTTTAGAGGCCATGATGAATCTCCATCTTCAATGAATAATGGGAATTTCATTGAAATGGTGGATGCATTTGGAAAAATGAATACGGAAGTAGGAAAAGTTGTGTTGGGTAATGCTCCCAAAAATGCTACATACACGTCTCCAGACATTCAAAAAGAGGTTTTAAATATTATGGCCAATAAAGTACGACAAAGAATTCGTGACGAAGTTGGGGATGCAAAGTTTTGTATTCTTGTTGACGAAGCACAAGATGAATCTTCACTTTAACAAATGGCCATTGTCTCGAGGTTTGTGAGTAGTAATGAAATTTTAACAGAACGTCTTTTTGCAATCAAAAGTATTAGTGACACTACCTCATTAAATCTTAAGAATTAGATTTCTAATATTCTTGTTCGTTTCAACCTTCAAGTGCAAAACATGAGACGTCAAGGGTATGACGGTGCTAATAATATGCGCGGTTCTTGGAACGGATTACATGCATTATTTCTTAAAGATTGTCCATATGCATACTATGTCCATTGTTTTGCCCACTGTCTACAACTCACATTGGTTTCTGCAGCTAGGGATGTCTCAGATATTAATTCATTTTTTTCTCATTTGGACGGTGTTATTAATATATTACATCATCTCCTAAGCGTATCAATAAGTTGAAAAGTGCCCAAAGAAAAGAAATTGAGCATTTGTTGAAAATTGGAGAACGACAGTCAGGAAGTGGGGCTAATCAGATTGGTAATTTGCAACGAGCCGGAGGTACTCGTTGGTCTTCTCATTATAGCTATGTGTAGAGTTTGATTGATATGTATGCTGCAACTTGTAAGGTGCTTGAGTATCTTAGTGAGCATTCTCTAAATATAAGATCTCGGTCTGAAGCTGGTGGTGTATAAAAAACATGACAACATTTGAATTTGTATTCTACCTGACTTTGATGGTTCGTACATGGTTGGTCGTTATCGTGGTCGTGAGTATCCTACCATTGAACATCATTACCACTTTCATATCTTCAATACAACCATAGATTTTCAGATGATGGAGTTAGATACAAGATTTAATGAGACATCATTAGAACTCATTTCTCTCAGTAGGGCTTTGGATCCAAAAAATTCTTTTGAATCATTTAACATGGATAATATTTGCAAGCTTGCAGAAAAGTTTTATTCGGGGGATTTTACGTAGCAAGATATTTATTGTTTGAAAATTGAGTTGCAACATTATCAGAATGATGTGATTTCTGAGCCTCGATTTCAAGTGCCTACACTTTCTGATTTTTGTTGGGAATTGGTTGCAAGTATAAGATCGGAGAGTTATGTCATTTTGACAAAGTTGATTTGTTTAGTACTTACACTATCGGTTTCAACAGCGACTGTGGAGCGAGCATTTTCAGCAATAAAACATGTGAAGACGAAAATTCGTAACAAAATGGATGATGGTTTTCTGGCCGATTGTTTAACACTAAACATTGAACGAGAATTTAGTATGAATTTTGATCTAGATTCTATTATAGATGAATTTTATGCTATAAAATATCGTCGGGTACAACTGTAATATGTAACATTAAATTACAATTTTTCTTGTTGTATATAACTTTTATTCTTACATTAAATTTTAAAAATTTTGCCCCCCGTTCACATCATTCCTGGCTCCGCCCTTGATGGGTCGTGCTCGTGCTAGATGGGAAATCGAGACAGAGCAATAGATCTATTCGTCGAAGCTCTTCGATGCTCTCCAACATATCTCCGTTCAGACTCATCGTCTCCCTCCGCCTCTGGTCGTACCGTGCATGAGGTTGCCAATAAAGTCCTCGCCGTTTCCGCCAAGCGAAGGACTTGCTGGAGCCGGGCGATTCTTTCGGGTCAACTCAGCCTCCGAATCTCTCAGATCAATAAGAAACACAAGAAGACATCTAAAATGACAACATGTGGTTGCAGGTCGAAGAAATTAGCTGTTAAGAAAAAACTGCCGCCTGTGCAGAGTAAACTGCGGGTTTTGGGAAGGTTAGTTCCTGGTTGCCGAAAGCTTGCATTGCCTAACCTTCTAGAAGAAACGACTGATTACATTGAAGCTTTACAAATGCAAGTCAATGCCATGACTTTCCTCACTGGCCTCCTTACCAGTGGCAACTCATTAATTGCTTCTTCTTCTGATCGACTCGGCTCGGATCAGTAGGGAATTAGTTACATTGGGATTTTTTTTATTTTGAATATATATTTTTTAAAGCCTATGTTAATAATTGTGTACATGTTACCTTATTTTCATAGCGTGTTTTACAATTTAACATTTTTCATTTGTTTGGGTATAGATTTTTTAAAATTTATTAATTTTTTTCAAAATAATATACAGTTATCCATTATATTGATAAAATAATTTTGAATGCACCATACATTCTTCATAAAAAAAATAAAATAAAAATTAATTGATTACAAAATTTATTTTGAAAAAATCTACATTAAAAGACTGAATATCTTATTGCATTATTTCATTTGAAGGTAATTTGTTACAACGCACCTTCTTGTTTATTTTCAGTCATGTACACAATTCAATTGTCATTGTTACATGTTGTGATGGAGAAAGTTTCGTTTTGTGGTCTCAATATCCTCATCTCTTTAATCCATAGTTGTCAGACTCGACCCAGACATAGACCCGGACAACACAACATGTCAATGGATTAGTAGTTCAACCGGTGAGCAGGTGGTTCAACCTGCGAGTCATTGCATAAAAACCTATAAAAAAAATATATAAAGTATAAAAAATTTTTAGGAGCAAAATTAAAAATTTTAATTTATTTTTCACTAATTATTTAAGTCTATAAAATAATGTAAAAGGTTGGATCGAAGTTTTTTAAAAGAATATTTTTTATAAAAGTTATAAATGATTTATTAGATAGATATAAGTTATTGCACACAAATACCACTAAAGCTCTTTAGTTCAAGTGGTGAGGAATTCATTTTTTTTAGAGGTCCAAGGTTCAATTCTCTTGGACCCAAAAATTTTGTAAGAGAATTTTAAAACCCAATCAAACGATCAATCGGGTCGGGTAAATCCCCAATTAACTCGGTCAAAATCCGATTTTGACCAGGGTATAATACATAAATCCTACATATTAAAATCACATTTCAAAATTAACAAACTTGTTAAATTATTTCAAAATTCAGGTGTTAATTCCAATTAAATATATATAATATATAATTAATTATTCTTACATCACCTCACCCGGCCACCCCCACCCATCCGTCCTTCAAAAAAATTTCCAGAAATTAAAAACTGGAAATCACACCCTCAATCCATGGATCCACCTACCCCACACCCATCTTGCACAAAATTTTCAAAAATTAAAAATATCAAGTCACTGACGTGTCATCCGTGACTAATTCTAACCGATTGTGATTGGTTGTGACCAATTATGTGTTAATTGTGACCGATTATGACTCGTTGTGACCAATTTTGTGTTAATTGTGACTGATTGTGACTTGATCACATACCGTCGCAATTAAGATTGACTTGGTCACAGACAGTCACAATTAACACAAAATTGGTTACAATCAGTCACAATTAACACATATTTGATCACAAATGGTCACTACAAACAAATCAACTTACACCACGAACAAGCACTACAATCCACCACCAGTCATTACCACCATCACCTCCAATACACCACCACTACCACCTTCAACTCAAATTTACGACCAACACCATCAAGAAAATCAGGAAGACAAATTTCGATCAAACATAGACAAAATGTGGTGCCATACAATTAGAGATTATGCTACGAAGTATTAAAATAACTCAACACATTGAAGCTGAAATATTATAACTACAATTACAAACGAAGTATTGCAATGACTCAACACCATTGAAACCAAAGAAGAGACGTAAATTGTTTACAAATTTTTTAATACAATTGATTCATCCAAAAAGTTATAACAACAGTATAACACCAGAGAGTAACTACTATTATTTTATCAATACACAAAAAGAAGAAGAAAAATCACGTCAGCGGCAATAGGAAGTTCAAATTTCTGTCTAGTCGAAATCTCATTGTACAATTCATCCGTGTTGCCACCAAAACCCACCACTATATCACAACCATTGCAACGGTACCATCGAAACAACGCATATAATTGGTCACAACACCACTGGCACCAACGAAACAATGCATATAATTGGTCACAACCACCACCAGCACAAACAACGCATCACAACACCTAAATAATTGATCTCAAACACTCATCCCACACTCCACCCACCACCACCACCACTATCAACACCACCAAACCACCTCGCCACCACAACCACACATCACCACCACCTAGCGATATCCCATCGACTGTAGCCACACGGCATCATCGCGTACATCCAAAACCAAATCCAATCAACTACAGCGACTATAGCCACGACGGCATCATCGTTGCTGCTCCGACAGCGTTCTCTTCTTCCAGTACAGTACGCAACAGCGTCAGAATGCCATCGCGCGACATATTCCAGCGATATCATCTCTTCTTTCGGTGGCATTTTTCGATCATAGGCAGAGATCTTCGTAGCAGCAGCAGCGTTCCTGGCAGAGGTCGTAAGCTGATGCACCTTTTGTAATAGTGTCGGTCTCGTAATCGACGTTAATCCTCTTGTAGATGACAGGGCCATGAGCACTGAGCACTGCGATGCTCTTCTACCGACAAAGCTCTCTTGGTGGCTCAGTGGTTCCCCATTGATGGTGAGAAAGAGAAAGGAGATAAGGAAGAGGAATATGGAGAAGATAGGGATTAGAAAAAGAAATAATTGTAATTTCAGTACCCAAACTTTTTATTTTTTCATAAATTAAAGCCAATTTTTTTATACGTGCCACTTACAATCCCAAATATTTTTCAACTTTATTTTCCACCCACCTCACCTCATTTCATCTTCTTCCCCAATACTATGGATTCCTCAATTCCAATCTCGAAGAAAACATTAGGTAAATTCACTTTTTTCTCTTTTTTCCTTTAATTTTTCGATCATTCATGATATCATGAGTTTTATTTTGGATCTTAAATCTCACAACTTAATTCAATATCTGTACTGTGCAAGCGAAGGCCTGTGGGTTTCAGGTACTGCCCACAAGTGTTACAGCCCCGACGTTTTTGGTTCTCATGTCAACTTAAAGTCGAAACCCCAGAAGATGATGTTCCAGTCGGATCCCTATACTGACGCTGTTGTTCCCTCAATTCAAAATCAACGCTTTCGAGAAAGATTCCATAACTACAGATATCTCTAATATCTGAAGGAATAATATACAAGGTGGTCTTAAATCTACATAATATTTTCTATCTTAAATCTACATAATAATTTCTAATCTGAGACTGCCACACCAGTTTCATATTCTAGGGTTTCAAAGTCGCATGAAAATTAAACAAGGATAGGAAAAGAAGGAACAATAGACAAGGTGGTCTTAAATCAAGTAAATTATAAAACCATCGATATATAATCACTTAGGTCTTTGATGAGCCAATTTTCATATGGAGATCATCAAAATAAATAGAGAAAAAAAAAAAAAAAGATAAGTTATTATTCTTGATTGATATACCAAGAGATTTCCATTTTTGTACAAAACAAGATAAAAGTCTGAGAGGAATTCTATAGTTAATGTGATAATGGTTTGAGATGGGTGTGATTAAACTGATGGGAGGGGAGAGAGAAGAATCTACTGTGCAATGCTTGAGTTTTTTCTTGCTTCAAAAATACGAGAAAATTTTGGGTGTTTGAAGGAGAGAATTTTTTTTTATTTTATTTTTGGGGAAGAAGATGGAGTGGGGTGTGGTGAAAAATAAAGTTTCAAAAATTTGGGATTGTAGATGGCACATATGAAAAATTGTCTTTAAAAAAAAAAAAATTTGGGTACTAAAATTGCAATTATTCATTTTTAATTTGGCAAATTTTTATTGTTTTTAACGAAAAATTTGACATAATTTGACGGGAAGGGGATTTTTTCACACAAAATGTTTTAAATAGGAGGATTTTTTGCGATTTTCAATAGGTGAAAACGTTTTTATAGGATTTTCTATTAATCCTATATACAATTTAGGAGGAAAATGGTGGGGGAAGCCCCACAGCTCCGGAAGTTAGCAAAATCCGTCAAACACAAAGCCGCCTGCCATGTGCTACAATTTTCAGGCAGCCCCACCCACTTATGGCACATGTGAGATGGTTGTCAACATTCAAACCGATATCCTTTAGCTTTTCAATATCATTTAACTTTTTCATGAATACACTTTTATGGTCTAGGATAATTCTTATTACCATTCCCGTAAAATTAGTCAATGATCCAAAACAGAGATGCCTCCCCCTTCCAATCTTTCGATCATGCAAGACGTATACGGTAGAAATCACTTGCCTCACATACTTCACGTGTGATCAAGACCAATCAGTCCTCCTTTATTGTGGAATTTCTCACCTCTGATCCTACCATTGATACGGAAGGGAAATGGAAAAAGGCCAAAAGGACCCCAACCCCACCCCTCTTTCACTCAAGTATCAACATGTGTGCCAACTTCACCATCGCAAAATTAATTGTTCAAAATTGAGATTTCAAGAATGAGCAACATCACCATCACATTTATTTTATTATTATTATTTTTTGAGCTAAAGAAGTTTATAATTGTGTTGATCTTGAAGGACCACTTATAATGTTACATTGTGTAGGCTTTCTTGGACCAACACAACAACTTATAATGTGATGGGGATAAAAATCAGATTTTTAGTAGATTTTGATAAAAGTTGATAGAATGTGTGGTTGAAAAGTTGTGGATCCCATAAAATATATGGTTGAAATTAATTGTTGACTTTAATTTAGATTAAAATCTAAATTTTAATCACAAACAAACATAGCATAGTCTGTTATCTCGTTTCACCCGTATTTGGTTGAAGGTTGGCCAAGTGCAACAAGATTGCATGCTATTAGAATTGGACTCAAATTAAACTATTCTTATCGTGTTTAAATTTTAATTATTGAATTGAAAATTTATAAAGAAAATCATCATATTTTTATGGTTAAGCAATCAAATTTATAGGAAAATAACACTAAAAAGAGATAATACATCGCGAATATTATTTTGGTAATTGTTTCTATATATATTAGCTAAGGGTGAATAATATTGACCGATGGATATGCCATAGGTGATTGTTACCATTGA